ATCTATCTATCTATCTATCTATCTATCTATCTATCTATCTATCTATCTATCTATCAAATACACACGCTCACCCATAGAATCTAATAAAATAAAAGAGCTGTAGTCCCCCCCCCTAAAAAAAGCAAAAAAACCCACAAAAAACCACCAACTAGTTTACAGGCTATTTGACTACTGATAATTCTAACAAATTTGTGTGACATAATTACATGTATAACCTTTTGGTAGAAAAATCAGATACGAGAATGTTTGCCTTTTTGATATCACAAATGGTCGCTTTTAAGCACAAGCGGGCTAACCCATATTTCGTGGTTTTCCTGAAATCTTGACCTTCACCAAAAGTGGGCATTGCCCTACCTATAGGAGAAGTTTGGTTTCATCGGTGTGTATTATTTGTTTAGTTATAGAGAAAAATCTCCTTGCGTTTAAAGAAAGTGAACAAGGGGCAAAAACTTTAATTTCGATTTTGTCAAAACAGCATTTTTCGGGATAGCCTCCTTGTGCTTAAAAGCAACCAAATATGCCTGATGTGGTTTGCTCCTTCTTTCTTCAAACTTCCATATCTTTTCTCCCTTTTTTCTTTGAAAGTTACTTTCAAGTCACAGCTCTAGGTCGGAGGCAAAATTCAAAATTCATTTTGAAACATAACTTTTGAATAAAATGCCATCTCGATTGTCATTCTTTCTTATCCATTGTGCTCTTATGTTTATAATGTGATGCATACACCCTAATTGACTGTGCTGTGTGGTTGGTTGGCGGGTTCTCTGGTGTGGTTTGATCCTTCTTTCCCATCAAATATCTATCGTCCATATCTCTCCTCCTTTTTGTGTATGTTACTCTCTTATAACACATCTATTCTTCGGCACTTATATTATGACCTTATTGTGTTGCAAATGCCATTAAACTATTGCTAAAACTAAAACTTAACTAATTACAGTGCTGTGATAGCATGAATGTCTGCTTATGTGTTACAGTTGATCAACAGAGCGTAGTATGTATGACGAGCGCATATTCATTGACTTGTGCGTTTTGTGTAGGGAAGATCTTCGGCACTAATATGACCGATGTAATTCGCATTGAGCATTTTTAAAAATAGAAAATGGAAATGAGCAGTATAAATGCTATTTATTACTATTATTATTGTTGTTATTATTATTATTATTATTATTATTATTATTATTATTATTATTATTATTATTTTGTTATTTTGTCATTATTGTTATTATTGTTATTAATATTATGATTATGATTATGATTATCATTTAAGTTGCAAAATATGCCATAAAAATCTTATTAAAATTTGTTAAAATCTACAACTGCCCAGGTTTGGCCGTCGGTGGACATGTTTCGGCTACTGCATCGTCTCCGTGGTGTCCTGTGCCGCTGTGGTCGTCGTTTTCTTTACAGGTCTGCCTCTTTTTCGTTGTCCTCTGAGTTATTCTTGCTTACAGGTTTCAGTTAAAATTTTGTTGCAG